TCGACTTTACGAATTTCTCTCTCTCTCTCTCTCTCTCTCTCTCTCTCTCTCTCTTTCTCTCTCTCTTTCTCCATTTTCAATTTCACATCGTGTTCTGCAATATCATCGCAACTGTGTCGCGCCAATATTGCAATCCCTCAGGTTCGTTCGAGGAATACAATTTGCGCGATCAATAAGAAAACCGTCAAAGCGGAAGCTACCACTCCTTCCCCTCCTCCTCTTCCTCGCCCGCCGGGCGCGAAGCTGGCTTTAAAACGACGGCGAATGTTCCGAGAGAAGAGACAATGTTGTTGGACGGTCTTATCTCCCGTTCTTTCCCCGTCTCTTTCATTCTTCTCCGTTCTGTTATTCTTTATCTTCTAAACATACGACGCTGCCAGGTAAACGTTGAACCAACATTGTAAATCTCCGGTGTTGTTTGGGAGCCGACCAGATCCTAGAATCCACCTGTATTGTCGCGCGCCCAACGACTGCAGAGGAAAGGATGTTGAGCGTTTAAAACGTCGGGCGAATTGGAACCGTTAGAATATCTGGAGCGATAGAGGAAGGCTTTAGCGTGATCTCCCGATGCGCGTCTTTATCAAATACCTATACGGATAGACGGACTCCCGGGTCCTCCTCTTTCCTGAGATCTTTATATAGAACGCGTTTCGCCGCTTTTATCAGGCTCGTTGCATCCCTCGTCGTCTATCTCTCTTTTTCTTTCTCTGTGTGTGTTTCTTTCATCTTTATCGAGTGTAGCACAGATGAGATCCACCGCGCGAAACGAGATCTTTCTTGTCCGTGTCACGTCGCGCAACGAAAGGCGTGTCTTAATTTTCACGTTCATTTGCGATGCGTAATGTCGGGAGGGAAGTAGAAATGCAATGGTAATGACTCGCCGCGGATTGCGGTTTGAATTCGTTGTGCTTCGGAGGCCATAAAAATTTTTCCGCGCAAATATTGCGACAGCGAGATCAGCTCGCTGAAATGAAATTAGCTTTCCATTTCCAAGTTCTGCCTTCAGTTCTCGCTTGTAGATCCGGCAGATCTCGAATTTTAATTTAACTTTATTATCACCTTAATTATTCGTTGCATTAGTTAGTAGGAAAATAATTTATGTCGCACTTCCGATATCAAAATTGGCTACGCGGAAAATCATTTCCACCTCGTCCCGGACGTCGTTCCGACGTCTTCGCTCGCTATTCATAACATGCGTATATATCGATTAGTTGAGTGACTCTTTTTAATTCTCGTTACATAAAGAGGCGCGGAGCAACACGTGCG